GACTTAGCTACTGGAGATCCTGAAGATGCTCTTGATGGTCGCCCGGTTGGAGATGGGCCCCCCCCTCTGGAAGAACTTCCCGAAGATCCTCCCGCTGCTTCTAATGAGAACGCTAGCCCTCAGCCTACAGATAACAGTGCTGCCCCCCCGTCTTCTGCCGAGGTCCATGTTCTGGACTCTCAGGGTTTGGTCCTGCCCAACACCCCGCACGCTGATGAGGTGCTGGCCGACCTATTTGCTCCTAATGATGATGGTAATGATGATGGTGATGAAGGTGATGAAGGCGAATTTTCCACAGCCGATGATGATGATGAGGAACTGGAAACTGAAGAGGAAGACTCTGAAACTGAAGATCCTGATTCTGCGACAGAAGTCTCGACAACACCCACTCTTACTGAGAACGCTGCTTTGGCTGCTGTATTCAAGAAAACACGTAAGAATGTTAAGAAACGATTAGGGGACCGCTTACCGCAAAGAGGGGGATCGGACCCTGGCCCTCCCGCTAGGAAGGCCACCCGACCTGCCCTCGGTACTTCGCGGAAAGCTGGTCCGAAATAGATTTTGCTTAGTTGTGTTTTTAGATTAGTCACTTGAATCCTTTTCCGTTCAAGACAATTTCGCTTAATGCAAGAGGCTTTGAGAAAAATGCTGACGCGTTTTTTAATCTAATTCGTAAGAGCTATGATTTTGGCTTTTTTCAGGAGACTTTGATTTCCGATCAGAAATCAATTGCCTCCTTATCCTCTCGTTGGGGTGGCAAAAGCTTTTGGTCCCCTGCAATTGGGAAGCAAGGCGGTGTTCTTGTTTTAATTAATGATCGTTTTGATTGCGAAGTCCTTTCTTGGAAAAGGGATTCAAGTGGACGTCTTGTTAGTTTGCTCATAGCCGTTGATCGTAGTAAATTTAACCTTGTATGTGTCTATGCTCCTACAAACCTAACTGAACGTAGAGAATTTTTTTCTGAGTTACACGAATTTTTTATTCCGGCGGAAGGTCTTGTTCTAGGAGGTGATTTCAATTGTTATGACAGCACTCTTGATAAACTCAATGGTAATGTCAACATAAACAATGAATTTAAAGACTTAAAATCTACCTTTCATTTAGTTGATGTTTGGCGTAAATCGCATCCTGGGGTTCGTGAATTTACTTGGTTTAATTCGGACTACTCAATCGCTAGCCGTCTTGATAAATTTTATTTATCCTCTAACATTGCCAATTTGTTTCTGTCCTCTTCAATTATTCCTTGCTGTTATTCTGATCATGATTATATTGATTTGCACTTAGACTTTTCCCTCTTTTCCCCCCGGGGACCTGGCATTTGGAAACTTAATAACTCGCTCTTGGATGATTCCGATTTTTGCGATTATATCCGTTCCCGTATCGTTGATCTTTCCTCTAGTATTTCTTGTTTTCAGTCTATTTTGTTTTGGTGGGATTTTTTTAAAGAGTCTATCAAGAGTGATTGCATGTCATTTGCTAAGAATAAGCGCACTGAATTATCGCGTGAGAAGGTTGTTTTGACCAACCGCTTAATTAATTGTAAACGATCTCTAGTTCAAGGCGATTCGTCAGTTCGATCTGAAATTACCTCCTTAGAAGCGCAACTAGCAGCCCTCACGAGAGTTGAGATTGAGGGTGTTAAATTAAGAAGCAGAACTCGTTGGCTAGAGGAAGGCGAGAAGCCTACCCGTTTTTTCTTTAAGTTAGAACAAGAGCGCGCTGAAAAACACCGTGTATCTGTTATGCTCGATTCTAATGGTAATGAAGTTACTGCACGTGCTGACCTTGAAAAGGTACACGTGGATTTTTATCGTAAGCTATTTGCATGTGAAGAAGTCGATCCTGTGTGTCAACAACACTTATTCTCTCAGTTAGATTTGAAATTGTCTCCCGAAGAGTCTGCTTCTTGTGATGGTTTAGTCTCCTTAGAGGAGTTAACTACCTCTGTTAAAAGTTTATCCTTAAACAAGTCTCCTGGTCCTGATGGGTTTACCTTAGAATTTTATCTTTGTTTCTGGAACCTCTTAGGGCCTTTGTTGTGTCACCTGTGTAAACAATGCCTTTTCGATGGGTCTTTACCCGAATCTCTTCGCACTAGTGTTACTCGCCTGCTTTTTAAGAAACGTGGTGATGTGAAAGATTTGAAAAATTGGCGTCCGATTTCCTTATTAAACGTTGACTACAAAATCATATCAAAAGTGATTACGCTACGCCTTTCCCGCGTCATGGCAAGCATTGTACATCCGGACCAGACTTGTTCTGTTCCGGGTCGTTCGATCGCCTCCAACGTTACTATGTTACGCGATGTACTTGACTATATTAACCGAACGAATGAATCTGGTATCCTCGTTAGTTTAGATCAGGAAAAAGCCTTTGATCGTGTCAATCATTCCTTTTTATTTAAATTACTTTCTCATCTTGGTTTTGGTTCGGGTTTCATCAAGTGGGTTTCCACGCTTTATAAAGGTGCTAATATGAAAATAATCCTTAATGGGTATCTTACTGAGCAAATTGAAATTAATCGTGGTGTTCGTCAGGGGGACCCGTTGTCCCCCCTTCTTTATGTTCTGTGCGTTGAAGTACTTGCCTCTCTAATCAGATCCTCCTCTTTTATTACGGGTTTTCTGTTACCTGGTGCTAAGGGAGTTCACTTCCGCGTCCGTCAATACGCAGATGACACAACAACATTTGTAAAGAATATTTCATCTTTAACTCAATTATTCAATGTTATTTCTTTGTACGAAAAGGGATCAGGAGCTAAGCTAAATCGTTCCAAAACTGAGGCCATGTGGTTGGGTGCGTGGAAATCTCGCGAAGACCAGCCACTTGGCCTCACTTGGGTTAGAAAAATGAAAATCCTAGGGGTTTGGTTTGGTGTAGTTCCAGTTGAAGAAGATATCTGGCTACCCCGTATCAACAAGTTAGAGAAAGCGATTAATCTGTGGAAGTCGCGATCTCTGTCATTCGTTGGTAAAAGTCTAGTTATTAATGTTATAGGACTTAGTAAATTCTACTACCTCGCGCGTGTTCTCACGCTCCCTGAATGGGTTACTCGTAGGGTTAACCAAATTATCTGGCCTTTTTTATGGGGCTCGAAAATTGAAACTGTCGCTCGTAATTCTTTGTCCTGCCACATCTCGGATGGTGGTCTTGGTATCGTTAATCTACCCCTTAAATGTGATTCCTTGCGTGTTTCTGCCCTGTTTACTGTGATTCGTGATCCCGATGATAAGTGTTTTTTCCTTTGTAAATATTTTGTTGGCTGGCATTTAGCCAGATTTGATCCGCAATGGTTATCTCTACGAGATAATTCTGCCCCTAGTTCCCCTGAGCCTACTCCATTCTATTTGTCTTGTTTATCTGTAATGTCCCGTTTTGATGTAGTTAATACGCCTCCTTCATCTAAAGCTATTTACTGCGCTCTTAATAAAGTTTCTACCCCGCCTTCCCTGCACCGCGCTTGGGTCCCTTATCTTGGCCCTGGGTTCTCAATTCGAGACCACTGGGCCAAGGTTAGGGATTCCTTCTGTGACAATCGTCTCAATGACTTATTCTGGTTGATTACCCTCAGGGGTGTTAAAGTGCGTGATTCCCTGTATAACTGGGGTTACATCCCTTCATACAAGTGCGCAATGTGTAATAGAAGGGAAACGACCGATCATTGCTTTTTGAACTGCCCGCGCGTTAAAAGAGTGTGGGCTCACTTCCGACCTGTACTATCCGCTCTACTCGGGTTTGATTTTCTTGTTAATGTTTGTACAGTTTTCTTTTTTTGTTTCTCCTGTGACGCTAAGAAATTCCGTATTGCTTCCTTTGTGATTAAGAGTGTAACGTATGCTATCTGGACCTTCCGTAATAAGAGTACTTTCCATAACGGCCGTGAAGAGGCATCTGCTCTTATTAAGTATGCGTTGCACTCCATAAAGGGGAGAGTTAAGCTAGACTTCCATCGTCTTCCACGTGAGAAGTTTCTCCGTGTCTGGGGTGAGCCCAGTTTTTGCTTTGTCCGCAATGACACCCTTTTCTTTTCGTTCTGAGTTAAGCTTATGTAATAGTTATAGTAATCTTTCCACCTACCTGTGATTGTAAATCCTCCACCTGTAATTGTAAATACTTACCCTCTGTGATTGTAAATAGTCTCTAATGAGTTTGATTTTTGAATAAACATTTTAAAACAGAAAATCTGTTCTTATCAGCTTAATATCTGATACGCTGCTCATTGAGCAGCTCATATATTAAACTGATTTTTGGAATTGGGCTGTGGAAAGGAGGCTTGCCTCGTCCCAGCCACGGGTTGCCTCGGTATAGCACTACCTCCGAGTGCGGCCCACTTCCCCTTGGGGAAGAAATATTCAATTAATAAGAGACATTTTTTTCCTGTGCTTGTTTTTTCAACATCTGGGTACCCTGTGGCTCACTGGTGTCCCCCGCGTCAGGTTTCTATTTAGGCGAGCCGTCGGTCACATAATAGGAGTCCTGTGGCCGTCTGGACTTGCGCAGTTACCACAAGGGCCCTAAGAGGAAAGCAGTTTTTCCGCTGCCGGCCGTTGGTCCTAGCTTTTCATACTTACCTGACGCTTGATTTCGCGACGCGGAAGCCCTACCCTTGTGGTATAATTTCTGCGTTCTTCAAGTGGTGAGTGTCGCTACATTTCCAAGCTTGTTCCAGTCTGCGTGACTACGGACGTCTTTGGTGGTGTGGTTTTTCTTATCTTGGCCTACTTGGTAGTGCTGCTGCAAGTCTACGGTCGTCGTGTTTGTAAGTTTTTGCCTTTTTTCTAAGTTTGGGTTGCCCCCCCGGTTCCACTGTTAGTGGTCTTGGGTGGCCCCCCGTCCCCCGTTGGGCGTTGCCCACCTGGGTCTAGCCTTGTTTTTTTGGTTTCTTTCTTTTGTGGTTGGGCCCCTTTTTGGGTCGCCCGTCTCCTTTTTCTCCCCGCCCGTCAGGGCTTAACCCCGTTGGGTTTCCTTCCCTTGCTTTTCTTGTTTTCGCTTTTTCGGCTATGGCTTTGCGCGCGTTTCGCCGCACTGTAAGTTTGGATGTTTCCCAGCTGGCTGTAACTAATGACCGTAAGAAAGTCTGCGAGCTTATTGTAAACCATTTTGCGAACCATAAGATTCACGCCGTACAATTCGTGGGTACAGCTGCTAAAGTAACCTTTGCTGTTGAAGCCAGCAAGCAAGAGGTTATAAACCATCAGGCCATTAACATTAGTGGTGTTCAGTGCGCGGTTAGGGGTGGTGGTCCCCGCGCTCAAAATGTGCTTATTTATAATTATCCTGTTGAGGGGTCTGAAGAATCTATTCGTCGTGTTTTGGGGGCTTATGGGGTTATTGAGAGAATCTCTTTTCGTCATTGGACCCATTTGACCGATGTTAGTGATGGGGTGCGTGTTGTGCGTATGACCCGCCGCCTGGCTATTCCACGTAATTTGTCTATTGCTGAGGTTAATGTCAAAGTTGCCTATGCCGGTCAACAGCAGGTATGTGATCTGTGCCATGCGCCTGGTCACATTGCGCGAGCTTGTCCCCTTCGTGATAAGTGTTTTCAATGTGGGCTTGAGGGCCATTTCTCACGTGACTGTCCTCAGCGGGTTGGCTATCGTGACCGTGATGCTGTGCTGGATCCATCCGATCCCACCCCTGCGGAGGCTGCTGGTCGTTCTGCTGTCAGAAACGATCCACCCGTGACTGGTACTGTGCCCGACGGTGATGCCGGCTCCCTAGATGGGGTGTCCGTTTCTTCTGCTGTTGCTGCTGCTGGTCCTACCTCAGTCTCCCAACCAGATGCTGACCTCGACTCTGTGTCTGATGATGACCTCACCCCCTCCGTGGATCCTACTCCATCTGGTTCGTCGTCTATGGACTGCCGTGATAACCAACTCGATGAGTTAAGCAGCCAGCCCCTTTTCACCCCTTCTGCTTCGTCTGTTGCTGACCCCGATTCGCTGCAGGGGGTGACCATTGATTCGGCGTGTCCTGACTCTTTTGTTTCCCCTCCCCCCCTGGCCAGGGCTCTCTTCACAGCGCGTCTAATCTTGGGTTGTTAGATAAACTTAAATCTAGAGTTGGTCTTAATAAAAAGAAAGTTAATTCTAGTGATAATAATAGTTCTAGCAGCAATAATGATATTAGTAATGGCAATAAGAATGGGAATAAACATAGTGATAATGACAAGAGTACTACCAATAAGAATGGAAATATACATAGTGATAATGACAAGAGTATTACTAATAAGAATGGAAATATACATAGTGATAATGGAAAGTTACATAATAGTAAAGAAAGTGATATTAACGATAATGTAGAGTATATTGGCCAGGGTGTTCTCGCTGGTCGGGAAAACAACAGTGAGATGGAATTGGCGGTTGATTCACAAAAACGGTCACACCCTGATTCCGATTCTGTTGATTCGGTTGATAGTGTTTCTTTTGCTATGCCCAAGGTGCTCCCTCCTCGCTCTTCTAAAAAGAAGCCGGCTGTTGTTGTTTCCCCGGGCACTTCCAGGCCCGTTGCTGTCGATCACGACCACGATCGTAGTCGCAGTCGATCTCCTAAGCGTTCCTCTTCGGCTAGTCGGCCTCCCTCCTTTGGTTCACATGCTCTGCCTCCTAGCATTGGTTATGTTCCGAAGCCTCCTAGGAGCTCTGGTGGATCTCGTAACTCCAAGGCGAAGTAACCTCCCTCTTTCTTCATGGCTCTAGCAATAATACAACTAAACACAAACGGTATTAGGAATCCTGACAAGCGTGCGGTCTTTTGCAGTGGTTGCGTTCCCTTTCTGTAGTCCCGGATGTTGTGTGTCTCCAAGAGACTCACTGCGTTAGTGATGTTGAGTGTCAGTCTTGGTTTCGTTCCTCTGGCTTTCATTGTGTTGTGTCCCCTGGATCTCAAAAGTCGTGTGGTTGTATTATTCTTTTTCGTCCTTGTCTGTCCCTTGTGAATTTTTCGTCTGATGATTCCGGTCGCTTCGTGTTGTGTGAGTTCCGTTTTCAAGGCAAATTGTTTCGTGTTGTTTCTTTGTATGCGCCCAATCGTAACCCTGCAAGGGACCAGTTTCTTGATCAAGTTTCTTCTTGGGTCGACCCAGCCGTGCCCACTGTCATATGTGGCGATTTCAACACGGTTTTTGACCGTTCACTTGACCGTACTGGATCTGTAGTTTCTGACACCTCCAGAGAGAGTACTTCCATTCTCTCTCGTCTGTTTGATGATTGCTGTGTCATTGATATCTGGCGATATCTACATCCCTCTTCCTCAGGTTACACTTGGATGCACCCGGATGGCTCTGTCTTCTCTCGTATCGATCTCGTTGGCTGTCCGTATGTGTGGGTCCCCTCTGTCTCGTCGTGTGAAATTGTTCCGTGTCCCTTCTCTGACCATTGTGCTGTCCTTTTGTGTGTTGCTGTACCGGATGTTGTTCCCCCGGGTCCCGGGTTGTGGAAACTAAACACCTCTATCCTGGAGGAGTCGGATTATGTCCGCCAAATTGAAAATCTTTGGTCCCGCTGGCGTGACCAGAAGGAGCGTTTCCCCTCCTTAGCTAAGTGGTAGGAGGCGGGCAAGTCCCGCATTAAGGGACTCTCCATTAATTATTGTTGTGCCAGGTCATCGGACAATGCTGTGAAGAGAGACCTTCTTTCCAGGCTTGCTTCGCACCTTAAGGAACGTGTTGATATTGGTGTTTTGTCTTTGGTGGGGCCTTACCAGTCGGTTCTCCAGCAGCTGGCTGCTTTGGATGTGGAGGTTGCAAAAGGGGCTCAAGTTCGTGCGCGGGCGCGCTGGATTGAGGAGGGGAAACCTCCAGCTCTTACTTCTTTCGTCTCGAAAAGAAGCGTGGGTCTGACCGTTGGATTGCTGCTGTGCGCAACGATGATGGTCAAATTGTTGCGTCTCCTGAGGGTCTTTGTTCATCGTTCTCTGCCTTCTATTCGTCTCTCTTTACTGCTGAGCCTACAGATCCCATTGCTCAGGAATCCCTTCTTCGTCACATTGAGTCCTCCTTGCCGCCCGCCCAGTCGGAGTCTTGCGAGGGTTTACTGTCGGTTGAGGAATGTTTTGAAGCATTGTCTGGTATGGCTAAGCGTAAGGCTCCAGGCTTGGACGGTCTCCCGGCTGAGTTTTATCTCAAACTTTGGCATGTCCTTGGGCATGATCTTGTTGACGTTCTTAATTCTTGTTGCGTTGCTGGATCGTTGACTCTGTCTCAACGTCGGGGGATTATTGCTTTGTCTTTCAAAAAGGGTGATCGATTAGATATGCGGAACTGGCGTCCCATATCTCTCTTGAATGTTGATTACAAACTTGCTGCGCGAGCCATTGCTGGTAGACTGTTGAAGGTTATCCATCTGGTGGTTGCTGAGGACCAGACCTGTGGTGTTCCGGGGAGGTATATTGGGGAGAATGTTGCCCTTCTCCGTGATGTGGTCTCCTATGCCACCATGTTTGACTCCCCAGTGGCAATCTTGTCTTTGGATCAGGAAAAGGCCTTTGATAGAGTGGATTGGTCCTTTATGTATGCCACTCTCCGTCGTATGGGGTTTGGCACTTCTTTTCTTCAGTGGGTCAACCTGTTTTATACTGGCGTTCAAAGTTCCGTTAATGTCAATGGTTATCTGTCTCCTTTCTTTTCCTTGTCTCGTGGTGTACGTCAGGGCTGCCCTTTGTCTCCTCTTCTGTATGTTCTTGTTGCTGAAGTGCTCGCGTGTAACATTCGTGCCAATCCACGTATTAAAGGCCTTTGTCTCCCCGGACAATCTGACGCTATTTCACCAATTTCTCAGTATGCTGATGACACATCGCTGGTCGTGTGTTCTGATGATGCTATCCGTGCTTGTTTTAATGTTTATGATCTGTATGAGCGAGGTTCTGGCTCCAGGCTCAATCTCTCCAAGTCCAAAGGTCTTTGGCTTGGTCCTTGGGCCAATCGTTCTGACCCGCCGGTTGGCCTTGACTGGTCGTCAACTAAAATTAAGGTTCTTGGGGTTTTCTTGGGCCCCGGGAACCTGGATGATGATAACTGGAAGCCCCGCATTGAGGCTGTTGAGAACACTCTCCTCTCTTGGCGCCAGCGTATCTTGTCCTTTCAGGGTCGTGCCCTTGTGATCAATGCCTTAGCTCTGTCCCGGGTGTGGTATGTGGCTTCCCTCATCCGCATGCCCCCTTGGGTCTTTGGTGAGCTTCTGAGACTTGTCTTCAGTTTCTTCTGGAAGGGCAAAAAAGGATCTTGTATCGCGCTTGGTAGTTGTTCAGGCTCCTTCTGTGGGAGGTTTTTCTGTTGTCGACGTTAAGTTAAAAGTTCAGTCTTTGTTAGTTCAGTGGGTCAGGAGGTTCGTCATGGCGCAATCCAGCTGGTCTGTGTTTGTGCATTTCTGGTTCTTTACTGTCTTTAACTCCTCCCCCGTGGAAGTGTTCTCTCGGCCTTTTGCTTTTAGCCCTCGTGCTCTCCCCCCGTTTTATCAGTCTCTGCTGTTGGCTTGGCGTGCAGTTGATGGTTCCTTCTCTCAATCTCGAGCGGCCCTCGTGATGGCCTCGTCAGACCCTCATCAGTTTACTTTGGCTTCTGCCATGACTGCTAAGTCGGCTTATCTGTATTTGCTGTCAGCTAACTTTGTTCCGCCGCATTGTGAGGAGAAGTTCCTCCCCCTGTATGGTTCACTATACTGGTCCGCTACTTGGAGACAGCTTGGCTTTTGCCCTGTTGACAGAGCTGTCATTGATGTGGCTTGGCAGGTAGCTCATGGTGTCTTATACACTGCCGATCGCCTGATTTCCTTTGGGTATGACTACGACCCGAATTGCTTTTGCGGCTCTCCTGAGACTCCGTCTCACCTTTTTTTCGAGTGTGCTCTGGCTCAGAGTGTTCTTGGCTGGATTCAATCTCTCATGTTTCGTGCTTCTTCTCTATGTCCCTCTCTGTTGGTTCGTCATGTTCTCTTTGGCTTCTCTGCGTCTGAACTTGTTGTGGTTCCTCGTGTTTTTGTTTACCTGCTGAATCTGGCCAAGTATTTCCTGTGGAGAGCGCGTAATGACTTCCGGTTCCGTGATGTCCAGCCTGGGGCTCTTCCTCTGATTGAGGTTATTAAGGCCCGTGCAAAGTGCCACCTTTGTATTCTTTTTAAGAGGTTCAGGTCATCTCGTCGCCAGCGGTATTTTCATAGACAGTGGGGAGGTAATGGCGTTGTTGGGAGAGTGTCAGAGGGTTCATTTTACTTTCGTCTTTAGCCTGAGTGAGTGAGGTTGTACTGGGTCTCCTTCGTTTTTGAGTGAGTGTGTCTCTTGGTTTCTTGGTCGCCTTTGTTGGTTGTACTGGGTTTCCTTTTGCTTGAGTGGGTGTGTCCCTTGGTTTCTTGGTCGCCTTTGTTGGTTGCACTGGGTTTCCTGTTGCTTGAGTGAGTGTGTCTTGCTTCTCTTAGTCGTCGGTGGCTATGAGTTGTCTCTGCTCGAGTGAGTGTGTCTTTGGTTTCTTGGTCGCCTTTGTTGGTTGTACTAGGTTTCCTTTTGCTTGAGTGGGTGTGTCTATGGGTTCTTGGTCGCCTTCAGTGGTTGTACTAGGTCTCTTTCTTGTTTGAGAGAGTGTGTCTTCGGGCTGTTCGTGTCCGTTTTTAGTTTGTTGCTAGTTTAATTTCAGTTTAGTTTTTAGTTTCCTCCCTTTGGAGTGGTTCCGAGTGAGTGTGTTTTCAGTTTTAAGTCATAGTTTTAGGCAGTGCCCGCGTCTTTTAACTTGTTCTTTTGTCCCGTAGATGTTTGTATTGTAGTTGTTTGTCTTGTACTGTGTATGTAGGGGCGGGGGTTCAATTCCCCCAGTCAGTTTCTGTGCTGGTGCACTGCCCCGTTTGATGTGTGTTTGGTACTAGACGTTAAGTCTGGCGGCATTGCACTACCCTACTGGGGGCCGGCCATTCACCTCAAATACAAAAAAAACTTACCTGACGCGGGACACTTTATTGTGGTACCGTTGGCTAGTATCCCGTCCTTGGTGGCGTTTTTTCAAATTAGCTTTAGCTTTTTTTGTGTGAACAAGTGCTAAGTACCTGCCGGGAGGGAACGCCAAAGTTCACTGCTTAGGTTTTCTCGCCCTCTCGGTGGGTGCGTCGCCCAGCCGTTGGCTGTTGGTGTTTCTTGGTTGTCAGCCGTTTTTGGTGCTGCGGATTTGTGTCGTGGTTTTGGTTTTGGTCGTTTCAAGCCTTGATCTACGTAAGTTTTTTGCACATTTACTGTTTTTGGTGGGTTACCCGTCCCTTTTTGGGCCCTGCCCATCAGGGCTTAACCCGGGTAGTCTCTTGGGTTGCCCTTCTCGTTTTGGTCCCTGCCCATCAGGGCTTAACCCCGGTGGTGGGTTTTTTTCTGTGTTTTTCTTTCTTTTTCACCATGCCTCGGCGTTTCCCTTGTACGGTCTCGTTGGATGTTAAGGAGTTTGCCGATCTGGGTACAACTCGCCCGGAGGTTGTTTCCAAAATTATTAATTCTTTTCACCCAATTAAGCCCATTGTTGCGGTGCAGTTTGTGGGTTACGATGCTAAGGTTACTTTTGAGAGTGAGGCCCATAAGCGAGAAGTTATGGCTAATGAATATGTCTCTATTGAGGGAATTGAGTGTGCTGTTCGGGGCGGGGGGCCCAGGCCCCAGAATGTCCTCGTTTATAATTTCCCTTTTGAAATACCCCATGCAGTTGTTCGGGAGGCTTTAAGTCCTTTTGGGGAGGTTGAGTCTGTCAATTTTCGTCACTGGACTCATGCTCGGGAGATTTGTGATGGGGTTCGTATGGTTAGGATGGTGCGGTCTCGTGCCATCTCTCGCAATTTGGTTATTGATGGTTTTCCTGTTAAGATTTCATACCCGGGTCAGGCCCTTGAATGTGATATCTGTGGGGAGTCAGGCCATATTGCAAAAAACTGTTCTTTGCGTGGTAAGTGCCTGGAGTGCAGGCAATCCGAGCATTTTCAGCGGAATTGTCCTGTACGTCTGCGTCGGCTTCAAAGGTCTGTGGATAGTCTTGATCCTGTCCCTCCGGGTGATGTCTCGGGACCCCCCCCTAGTGCGTCGCCCCCGGGTGCGGGACCGTCACCTGTGGTTCTCTCTGGTGTCCCGCCTATTGCCCCTTTGGCCAATCAGCCTGATGGCGTTGCTTGTGAGGAGTCTTCCTCTGTTGATGTGCGTGATAACCAGTTGGATGAGTTTGCCAGTCAGTCCATCCTGGCTGATGTTTCGGTTGTTGACCCTGTTTCTGCCTCTGAAGGCCCGTTTGGTATTATGATTGGCTCTTCTCAGCCTTGTGCTGAGTCCCAAATTCCAAATTTATCTACGCCTGTTGATACTGTTACTAGTGATGTTTCTAGTGATAATGATAGTTTGGTTACTGTTAGTGAAGGGGAAATTACAAGTAATAGTGATGATAGTAATGTTAGTGAACATAGTGAAAGTAATGTTATGGATAATACAAGTACTTCTAAAGAGAATATTAGTGAAATTAATGTTATGGACAATACAAATACTACTAAAGAGAATATTAGTGAAAGTAATGTTATGGACAATACAAATACTATTAAAGAGAA